GAATAGAGCAAGCTAGTGTTAGAGGCCTTTTTTGCTTTTGTTAATCAGAAGTCAGAAAGTCAGAATTATAATTGTATAATAAATAAAAAGAAAACAGATGGAATAGAAAAAGAATAGAGCAAGCTAGTGTTAGAGGCCTTTTTTTGCTTTTGTTAATTGTATAATAAATGAAAAGAAAACAGATAGAATACAAAAAGATTAGAAAGCAAGTGTTAGTTTTTTTTTAGAAAACAAGCAGCAAATGAATAGAGTGCAAGTCTAAAAGGGACATGTTTTTTTTTTTTTAAAGAATAGAATTAGAATAGAGAGTGTTAAGAGTTAGAGGGTCAAATAAAGATGGAAGAGATGTGTTTTTAGCCGATTCTTGAAGATGACTAAGGACTCAGCTGCTCGGATTTAGTTAATTTAAAAGTCCGTAAAAGTGATTTTGTGCTGCTTTGGGATGGCACAATAAAGCACCGTTCACTTGCAGAATGCAAGCTTCTAGAGGGCACATAAGTCTGAAGTAATGAATTTAGGTAAAGAGGTGCAGAGCCAGTGGTGGTTTTGTAGGCAAACATCCATGCCTTTACTATTTGAGCAGTGAATTTCAGTGTGAGAGTTTGAAGTCCCCTTCTAACCTCTCTTTTTGAAGAGACCAATTCATCATATCAAGTTGAGATGTGACCACAGCTGTTGAGGTCACAACAGACGGCCAAGAAATCTAATGGTTGTCAACACTAATAATTGGCAACAAGAAAAATAGCCTCAAATTCCTCTGTAAAAGTGCCATTGCATATCCACAATTATGTTGTAAATCCCTAACCTCTTTTCTTGTGGAAAGAAATAAAATGTCAGTTCAACCGTAGAGAAATGTTAAAATAAATGTTACAACAATGTTCCACATCAAAGCAGATATTTACTTGTTTTTTTATTAATTCATTACTCTTCTTTTTTTTTCAGGGTTTCACCTCTGCAGAAGTCTGAGGTGGTTGAGATGGTGAAAAAACAGGTGAAAGTGATCACACTGATCATAAAACTATAAAACATACTATTGGGAGATATAGAGTAATGTAATATAGAGTAGTGTTTTATGTAAGTAGACTGATATACTGTCATAAAGTCCTTGCAAGCTGTCAGACTTTCATCATACTTTTTTGGACACAGAAATAACAACTTCACCAAATAATTTTTTTTCTTACTATTATTTCATATATCAGGTTTACAGGGTTAAAGCACACTCATAAAATATAATATTAAATGAGGGTATTAGTTATATTTGTTATTAATTATATATTTAATTTAATATTTATTACTATTGGTAACAGATGTTATAGTATATAGCGTATTGTGTCTGTATATGTCTGACCCATGTGTGAAATTCATTTAAAGCTAATCTCACAACAGCACAGGGCTTTCACAGGCTGCATCGTCACTGCTGTGTTAATTTGTGTTAAACCCAGGTTTAACCCAGTTTTAAAGATGTGATTAAATTGTTTCCGTGAAGGGATAAATCAGTATGCTGGAATGCTGCTGTGCTTCAGCCCCACACAAGGTCCTCCACAGATCAGCAGATTTTAAGACAGGGGCTCCACATCTAGACTCCACTGTAGTCTGTCTGTCATCAACTCACTCTCTTCACATCCAAAGGTCAAACAGCCCTTGAGCCCCTCAAAGGCCCTCCGTACCCCTTACATCCCACCCTGCTGTTCCTGCCTCCATAGGAGTGACTAGCTGTTTGTTTTAGAGGAATGATGTTTGTAACACTGTCACATTCAGGATGCTCTTAATAGGAAATAAAACATGGCATCTCCAGATCATTGTGATGGAACGGCTGCCTCCCCCTAATTATCATCAACACCCCATCCTTTTAAACGCCGCCCTTCACCAGGTTCCCGGCAGGAGTGGGTGTGTGAGAGAGGAGGGGTGCAGAAACAGCCAGGGCTGGCGGTGCGTGATGCGGCATACCTGTAGTGAATGGAGCCTCGTCATAGCCGCTGTTAAATGCCAAGCGCACCTCTCCTCGACCATTCCCCATGCATGCTGGTGTCCTCATGGGTCCAGGAAGGGAGCATGGAGGGACTCCCGCACTGCCAGAAACGCGAGTTGCCAGACCCGCGGTCCGGAATGGAGATGCATCCGTGACACTGCCGACGGGCTATGATGGCGGGCCGTTAATCCCCTCAAGCGCCATGGGCCAGGAAAGATGAGCCGCTGTGACGAAGCTGCCGCCCCTCGGACCACAGAGAGGAGTTCTTATGGCCACCGGACTCCACCCATTACCTGGGTCCCTCCTTTCTGAACACTGCCCTCCTTTACAATTCCCCAGCACAACGAGGACACCAGATTTCTCCATTTATTTTGGACACTCCTTCCCCTTTAGACACTTTATTCCCCATTTTGGACATTTTGTTTTATTTTCTGTTAAATAAAAGCCTCTCCGAGGCCTGACGCCACACCCACTGTGTCTATCGTTTGCTCCTCCCTCCACAATCATCCTTTCATCCACTGATATTACTTGTTTACTGTCATGGAGGGTCACTGTAAGCCACTAATCTTGAGCACCTGTACAAGTTTGGATGTTTGCATATCGTATTTATTTCAGCGGCCATATAAATGGGTTACAGTGCAACAAACAAACTTGTATCTGTTGCAATTTGCAACCAATAACATGTAAGGTCATGTCAGTTGTTTTTTTCATTAGTTTAGTTTCATAAACTGTTTAAAGAAAACAATCCATATAGATTTATCGCCCGTATCCTGATTTTGATCTGGATAAACACTTTCATCAGCATTTTGGGGCTTATTTAGTGAGCGAAGCACTTCTCTGTTTACATTTTGATGTCTAAGCCAGAGGAAAACACAATTTTATGAATTATCAGCGTGTTGTTGTGCGTGTGAAATCACTCAGTATTCACTCTGTCCGCCTAAGCAACATGCTTTGAAGTAGAGTTTTGGTGCTGAGCCTGCTTTTGGCACATAGTGTGCTGAACTCAGCAGAAAATATGGTGAAAATATTTAGTAAATATATTAATCAACTCAATCTTTTGCAATATACACATGTATGAAGCAACATAATAAATTGGAGGGAACTACTCATCGATTGTTTGAAAAAGACATCTGTCTGACTTGATGAAAGTTAAACACACTGTGACAGCAACAGAAACAGCACTTTATATTCAGTAAATCTGACAGAATCCAGATGATTTAAGCAGTTTATATCTACAGTTTGGGTGTTGGGTTCTGTTCTGAGTAGATTAAGTACAATTTGGATGAATTATTATTTTCTTCACTATTTTTCATGACAATCAGGTTTATACTAATTCTTTCTTAGTGGCCAGCTGATAAACCTGATAAACTTTTTCATAATATAAGGCAGTTATTAAAAGCAGAACTTAATGTACTAACCAAAAAATTACTTTATTTTCTTTGTACAGCTGCAAAAAGTTTTCTTGCTTCCTCTGCTTTTCAACACAATAAGACAGATTGTAGCTGGAATTCTCAGGAATATGGCTGAGACAGTGTTTGTCTTGTCCCTGCAACTCCATTCTTCCTGTTGCCCAGCATGGATAAGATTGTCGCTTTATTTTCAAAGCCAAAACCGCTTTCTGTGTTGGCTGGGAAACTGTAGATCTTGTGTAAATAGTAGGCCTTAATGAACTTATCTCTGTCCTCCCTTCTCTCTCACAGTTCAAGTACTTGAAGAATCTTCTGTTGGTTCACGGCGCTTGGAATTACAACCGTGTTGCCAAGTGCATCCTGTATTGCTTCTACAAGAACATTGTGCTTTACATTATCGAGGTAAGAAAGTCAGTGCATGCGATATAAAATGAAGTTCATTTTCACCCAAAAATGAAATTTTTGTCATCTACTCACTGTCGTGTCTTATCAAACTCACGGGACATACAAAATGGATGACAGCACCCAAGCCTGTTATTGCATTAACCATTAATGTCCTTTTCAAGGAGATTGAATGACCAATCTTTAATGAAATGAACTGGCGTTGCATGCATGTCGGCAGTTGTAGAGTCTCCATTCTGCTGTAGGAATGCAGGTCTGTCAATGTGAAGCCCACAGGCCATCCATCTGTGATGGTATTTGACAGTTTCCAGGCCTGGTGCTGATAGCCGGTTCAGAGACCTGACCTGACAAGTTAAAGGGCTGCTATCAGCACCAGCTTTATCATGAGGGGCGTTTGGCCGTTTTGAGCTGCAACACACTTGGAGATGTTACACCTCGGGGACAAACTTTAGGTTTCCTCAAGAGCTGAAAGAAGAGTTAGTAGCAGACTAAGGGTCTGAAAGCAACATTAGGCCATTTAAGTCTCTATTTAATGTCTAAGGTCTCTGAAATCCATGAAATGGACCTTTGGTCACGCCAGCCTCGTGCTAGTATGTGTTTAGGGCTATAATAGAACAAAATATTAAGTGTGTCCAAATTTAAACATATGTTAAATATCCCTGTGATATTTTGATTTGCACGATCGTAAATCGGAATTATGATGTTTTTGATTGATTGATGATGATTTTGGTTTAAAATGGAATTTCATATTTCTTTCTCTTATTCACTTCCCGACAAAGACAAGAAGCCTTTTAATCTCTAATGCATCCAATGCAAGAACATTAGCTTTGTAATTTATGTTTTATCCATGCTTTATCCATTTTATCTCTCTTGTGTAAAATGTTCCCTCTGTATGCAGCTCACTACAATTTGAAACAGACCAACACCAGTATTCATGAGCTGTACAACCCCAGCAGAAACACGAGCACTTCAAAAATCCATCTTTTTTCCCCTCGGCCCTCTTGCTCTTGTGTGCCACTTGACCCGTGAACCCTTTTCCCTTCATCTTGATTTTGTTTTATGTGCTGTGGTAACTCTCTGAAAAGCCCCTTAGATTTCTCTCTGTTGGCATCCAGTGCTGCTATAGATTTTGAGAACAAGGATGAGGAGATGAATCAGGACTTCAGATGACCGTTGTTTTCCTCTGCCCTCACTGAATGATAAAGCATTGCATGGTTTGTGAGTTAGTTCGGCCCATTTCATGTACATTTCCTGTTTACATGCTTCTGTACTGTTTAGATGTGGGGAGCTGCTGTGGTCGTGTTCATAAATGTAGTGAAGTCATGAAGCTATTTTTCCTCAATTTTAAAGTTCAGTGGATTAAATCCGTGGGAATATTAGAGCCCTGTAGCTGTGAGCAGTTATCGCTCAATGAATGTGATATTTTAAAGATTTTCGGTACTAGTCATGCTGGGTGGCTTTCATGTATTTTTCTTTTGGCTTTTGCCGTGGGGTTGTCGTATTTTGTTCCACAATGAAAGTTCCCCTTCAACACAAACATTTCTGACTGTGATCACATTTCACACTTTCTCATCAATCAAGAAACAAGCATCTCTTCCCTTTTTTCTTCTTATTTTGCATAAGAGGCGGCACTAGAACAACTATGTCCAGTAAATGGCCTTTCCCGAACACGCCCTCCAAATATTTCTAGCCACTTTTTGTTTTTGTCTTATTCTCTTTAAGCTCTGCTTTTGAATCTCCAAGAGAACTGTAAAGCACCCCAGCTCCTAGAGGGGAATGTATCTCCTCCTCAGCCCTTCTTTTGTTATGAGCAGAAAATGTATTCCCCCTCTCCATAAGGGGCCTTTCGAATAGAACAGGGCAAGGCTTTACTGTTTCCTTGCCTCACACCAAAAAGCACCTCTGTTTTGTAAGGGCTTGACATTCAAGACACTTGCTTCCCAAGGGTCGGTTAAAGAGATACATTTGTTGCCATAATAGGTTTACCTTTGAGTCCGTGAAGGCTTTTCTTCATCTCATTTTTCCAGACATTAACCTCAAGGAAGTGGAATAAGGATGTTAGTGGCCATTTTATCCTTCTCAACCTGTGGTTAGCAATGGATATGTGTACATCTTAGTTTTTTTTGTTTTTTTTACCACCATCCAGTGTTGTATCCTAGTATATATCATAGTACTTTATCAAGACTTTATCTGCTTTGCCTATTGGCTGAATTACAAAATAAATAGAGGCTTACAAAGTCTTACAGAACAAAACGTTTCAATAGTAACGTATCAGGGCGGTGCAGAGAGTTGCTCCCTATGAAGAGTGTTCAGTCTTTTCAAATCAGTTACTTGGTTTCATCTCAATATTCTTTCTAAGAAGGCAGCTGCCTATATAGACAGTAGCCTTAGAATGGTTTATATTGTTTCAGAGACATTTTTCCAATTGTAAACACATAATAGCACATGATCTTCCATACATTGTCAGACAAATAAGTTTGGGTTAACCTAAACGTTTGTCATGCTGGTTTGTTTAGTCCTTGGTTTGTGGTCTTGCATTCTTTCAACATGAGCAAAAATTAACTGGGGGAGAAAAAAAAAACTTTTCAGAACCTTCGTTGGATTAGCTGCTTTGAGACATGCAAAAAGCCATTCTTAAAACCAAATTGCTGTGCTTGCTGTCATTATCCTGCTGGGCTCTTGAGAGCTTGATTGACAGCTCTTCAGCTGGCACCAGAAGGGCTGACAGACAAGTAGCATTTCTGAGGTAATTACAAGGGCCTCATTCAAACAGAGCAGCAGGCTTAGTGAAAGACTGCAGGCCTGAGTGAAAGCCCTGGGCCCTGCAGTCTCATTGTGAAACGCCCAACTGGTTCTTTCGGTTCTTCTGTCACTCACACTTGCAATTCAGTGGCCCTTTCTTATTGTCTTGCCAGCATTTCTTAGGTTTTTTAGAGATCTTTGTTTTACACTACAGTTGAACATTTTAGGGTTGGAAAGATTTTGTAGAATGTTTTTGTAAGAAGCCTCTTGTGCTCACCAAGGCTGCATTAAAAACATTGTGGAATAATATTTTTTAACTTTTTAAATTTTAATATATTTTAAAATGTAATTTATTTTCTGTGATAGCAAAGCTGAATTTTCAGCAGCCATTATTCCAGTCTTCAGTGTCACACGACCCTTCAAAAATCACTTCAGAAAGAAACATTTCTTATTATTATTAATGTTAAAATATTTTTGTGGAAACTGTGATACATTTTTTTAATTCTTTGATGAATAGAAAGTTCAAAAGAAGAACATTTAATTGAAATAGAAATCTTTTGTAAAATTATGCCTCTACTGTCACTTTTGGACAATTTAAGGCATCCTTGCTCAAAATATGTATTAATTCAAATAAAACAACTACTGACCCCAACCTTTTGAACAGTGTACATTTAGAAAAATTGTGCAAAATGTATACTCTGGCAAAATTAGCATGCTCTTTCTTATCATATATCAATGAAATGTCTAATGTGTTTTTTTTACATTCAGTGATTTTGATATTGCCGTTTTTTATTTTGCTTTAAAAAAACAGATATCATGAATTTATTTTGATTATTTTATTATTTTTAAAAAATTCCCCATTTCCCCCCCACGAATCTGTTAGGTTTTCCAAATAATGTTTTAACAGTTTGCTTTAGGTCAATTGCAATTTACTGTATATCCTTCTTTACTTTGGAAACTTTATTTTCGTTATTTAATTTTGTTGTCTTTTATAATATACATATTCATATATTTGGGTGAGCTACTGATCAAGGGCCCTACTAGAAAATATACCAGTTTAAGGTGGTCAAGCTGTTTTTTATGATATAGTAGCTAGTTTATTGCTGTTCCAAAGTCAGCCAGATCCCCACAAGTTGGCCCAGCTGCTCAACCAGCTCGGACCAGCTGCCATGTTCCAGAACACAGCTATGCTAGTTTTAGCTGGATTCTCAAGCAGAGACATGGAGCAAAGAGGTGCCGTCTTTCTTTTTTTTTTTTCTCTCTCTCTCTTTCCCTTGTTAATTTTGCAGTATTTTGATGTGAAATTCCAGTAAATTTTTATGAAGTGTCTTTGATTTTTGAGTTAACCATTTTATTGTTTACCATGGTTTACAATGTGCTTCTACACTAAAACAGATTTCACTGTAAAAACTTTTTTTTCATACAACCTGAATGTGCTTTTGTGTGGTAACATCTCAAATAAAATTATTATCAAATTGACTGCATTTATTTTCACCAAAAGTCTTGTTTTTTTTTTAGATCAATTCAGTTAGTTTGCATCATGAAACTGATATTGTACAATTAAATTGTCTATAAGTTCTGTTACTGTACCACAGCCAGTTTACTTTCACTGCAGATGTTATGATGAGCAGGCTGTAATGTCATTGTGGAGTGTGCTTCACTGTGTGTGACAGTTAGCTTTCAGACACTTTGTTATGGCTCTAGCCCTGATCTCCATGACCTTTAAACCTCACTTGATAAACTTCTAACTGGGGATCTTGGGTCAAACTCAGCATTGCCACACAATCCTAAACACTTGAAAACAAAGAAGAACATTTCCAGCACTTTGTTTCCAGTTTTGTAAACTGCAGTATGTTTAAGTTTTGTAAACTCCAGCCTCTTGGTGTGGTTTACTGGTCCTACTCACCCAATTTTCTGTTCTTTATATTTAAATTGGTTTAGAATTGTGGATGTAACAACATAAATTATGAGCACCAGTGTTTGTGTATTGTTCTTTGGTCTGATGCTGGCCACAAAGACATTCACTCACTGTGTAGTCCACTCAATCTTCAACTTCCTGTTTTTTTTCTTCTTTTTTCCTTGTAGCTTGTCGAAAGAACATATATGAAGTGGAAATTTTGCTGAATTGCTTGAATTATTATTATTATTATTGATGATGATGATTATGATGATGATGATGATGATGATGATGCATATTTAATAGGTTTTTGACAGGAGACTAAAATAATACTGGTATACTAGTAATACTGTTATATATC